ACTATAATGATGTGACAGTCCCAATATCTGTTCATGTTTAGCACTGCTGTCTGATCGCACCGGGAAACCGGAACGCATCATGTGAGATTAATCAAATATTATATTACATAAACATAATATTACGACGCATATCTGCACAAAATGACGTGAATACACAAGCGAACTCGACTGTGCTGGTCAGAACGCGCACAACAGCACGCTGAAAACACACACACACACACACACACACACACACACACACACACACACACACACACACACACACACGGGCACACACACACACACACACACACACACACACACACGCACACACACACACACACACACACACACACACACGCACACACACACTCGCGATCATCAGACTGTAACGTCTTCTACTTGTAATGACGCTCAGAATCCAAAACACACACACAAACACTATTTTATATTAATAATTAATAATTAAAAAGTAATAATTATTACACATAATGAATATTAATTATGCATAATTTATTATGAAATGTAACAGTAACGCACTAGTAATGACTCAAGAGTTTCTACATCCTTCTAAAGGAACTACTAATAATTTGGATCAGTATCTGAAGTGAAAACATGATAACTCCCTAATATTGACTGAAGTTATTGTAATATTTTGATATTTTTGTAATATTTTGGATAGTAATTCCTTCAGATTGATTTGGCAACACTTTAATCATTACTATCAGAATCTGAATCTGTATTTGTCATTATACAAAAAAGTGCACAACGAAATTATATGCAATCCTATTCAGCGCAATCTCCCACTCTATATTATTATTATTAATATATATATATATATATATACACACATTCCAGTTGCCATTCTCACTTATTTTGTCAAACTTGTTACACAGGAGAAATGGGGTTCTTTTGCACATATAGGATTATTGTCAATTGTATTATTTTAGATTAGTATTAGATTATTTTGTCAAATTTATTTTTAAATAAATAAATATAATAATAAATAATAAATATATCTTTAACAGCAATATTTGCATATCATATGAATCATTTTACATACAAATAATGAGTAGTTCCTTTAGAAAGATGACACTTGATTCATTACTAACAGGTTACCATTACCTTTGATTATAAATTCTGCATTATTAATATTAATTATGAACCTGTGTATAGTAGCTCTCAGTGAACAGTTATGAAATGCTGTGAGTGAGATCAGCTCTTGGTTAATTATCATCCGATGTCACATGACACTGAGTTTGACCTCTGACCCCAGCAACCTAAAAGACACCCACAGCCTGTCGAAGTGGCCCGTGACCTCACACACACACACACACACACACACACACACACACACACACACCCGTGACCTCGTCTCCTGAAAACACAATCACAGAGCGAGGGATTAGATCACAATAATCAAATCTTGCTTTTCTTATTTTCCTATTTTGTGGGAGAAGTAAAAACATGATTTGATGAGATTAATGATGGTAATCCCGCAGAGATTACTGCGGTAAACATCGCTGTGGTTTACTACGGTACAGTCCACATCTGCAATATTAATAAACCAGCGCTCTGTCATATAATATTCTCCTGCTGTTTATCCGGTCGAACATGTCCAGCTTATATCATCATCATACACAGATTTAAATAAGGCCGTAAACTTGTTTGTGACATCGACTATTCATTTAAATTATTTGTATATTTAGTTCTTTTAAATGAAAGGATTTAAAGGGATTTAAAATAACAAGATAAGAACAAAAAAATTATTGAAAAGTATTTGCAATGTTTTTCTTTATAAATATGCACATATTCTCTCTTAATCTTACTGTGATGAAAACGCTCTGTTAATGTTTTTGTCTTCATATATTCAGTTATGAACTACATTAATTATCACTCTAAAAAATGCTGGGTTGTTTCAACCCAAATTTGGGTCAAATATGGACAAACCCAAATGTTGGGTTAAAATGCAATTAAAAAATTTACAGTTGAAAGTGAAAGTTGAAGTTGGGTTAAAATTTGAAATTACATTTTTAACCCAACATTTGGGTTTGTCCATATTTTACCCAAATTTGGGTTGAAACAACCCAGCAATGTTTAGGGTGTATATTCTCAATTCAAAACAGTGACATTTGACAAAATATTTGAGTAATTTGCATCACCAGACCTTATTTTTTCAAGTTAGGTCAACTCATATATATATATATATCAGTGCTGGGCAACGATTAAAAGTCCAAAATAAAAGTTTGCGTTTACATAATACAGTATATGTGTGTGTGTGTGTGTGTGTGTGTGTGTGTGTGTGTGTGCTGTGTATAATTATTTTGCATATATAAATACACACACATGCATGTATATATTTAAGACATTTTTGCATGCATATACTGTACATATATATATTTATACATAATTAATATTATATATAAATATAAATGTTTTATATTTAAATAACATATTTTTCTTAAATATATACATGCATATGTGTGTATTTATATATACAAAATAATTAAAATTAAATATATTAAATATGATTTTATATCTATCTCTATCTATCTATTTTTGTGATCAGTAAAGCCCCGCCTACTTTGATTTGACTGGCCATCATTTTCACATTGACAAGAGCTGTCAGGTTTTAGACCAGCCTAAAAATTTGTTGTTGTTGTTTTTTCTAACCCTTTTTGCCATTTAAACATTAAATAATAAATCATAATAAAATGCAGCAAAGCAATAAAAACAATGTCAAACATTGGCTTTCACTTATTGAACCCTGTTTAAATGTGTCTAAACTAAAGTCACCATGGAATCAAAGTGTTTATTATGAATGCTTTATCAGTGCACATTATTATTGTGTTAACTTCATGTTTCTGGTAAGCAGAATCAGAATCAGTTCCTCTTCAGCATCTCTTCTCTTCTCTGATGATGTGGGCGGGGCTTTAACCTGTCACTCACAGGAGATCAGCCAATAGCAAACCGTCCAATCAACTCCTCACAGACACAATCAAGCCCCGCCCACATGTGTTCTTGTTCCAGAAGCGCTTCACTCGATATACGACACAATAGAGGAGATTCATGCTTTAGATGTCACAAACATAATGCAGAAATCTTCATTTACAGAATGCACATCTATAAAGGGGTGTTTTTGTTTTGATTTGTGTCTGAAATGTTCTCGGACACGTTCACCTGAGCGCGTGTGGCGCTTGCTAACGAGGGCCGGGGAGTGTGTGTTCAGCGCGGGGACGTTCAGGGGCCGATGTGACACCGGCAGGAGAAACACATGAAAGCGGTTCAGGGACGCGGCTCTGACACACACACACTCACACACACACACACACACACACACACACACACACACACACTTTGTTCTCCGCTTCAAAGACTGACGCTCACTCGGAGGAATCCACAAACAATACAGCGGGAAAAATACCATCAAAACAGCCAGCTGAGACACACACACACACACACACACACTGTAAGATACCACTGTAATGATAACTGTAAAAATGCTACGCTTAACCAATTAATTCTACTATACGGAAAACTATAATAGATCTATTCATGCAAGTTTACAGTAAAATACTGTTAAATGTACAGTTTTTTCGGAAATCATCTTAAAGTAGCGGCTGGAGTGTATATTTGTTTTTAATGACCCTATAAGTTCGATTAAACCATCATTATATGAGGAGAGTATTGTAAAAAAAAAAAAAAAAAAATGAGGAAAGAACAAAACACTAAACTTGGTTGAACTTAATCTGAAAAAATTCTATAAATAAAAGTCAAACTTCAGCTTCAGGTTTTATTTTACTATGCAAAAAAAAAAGAAGAAAGCATAATCAGTGCATTATCAGTTGCAGTGCATTAATCAGTTATTAATATTTGTTTGTTTCTCTCCTTTTGCATGCATTTGGACAAAAATGGTGTCGCACAATTTGTCATGTTTTATTGCGTTATTATCACAAATCAAACAATCGACTCCAAGCACAACTACGCCATATGACAACTAAATCTTTAATAATATTTAATATAGAGGATAAAGATGTCAGTTTCCCAACACCGGACCACTACTGTAATTTACAACTGTTAAAAGTGTGGTTAAAATCCACTTCACATTTTTCATTTTAATTATTATGTTTCTTCTTAATTTTTTTTCTTATCATTTATCAACATTACAGTGTTATATCTTATTTTGTTGAAAGAATGTGTTATGTATTTGTGCAGCTTCTATATATTACAATTTTTTCTTCAACTTGTGGAAAAGCTACTTTTATTTTGTAAATTACAGTTTTAAATGTTCATATTTACAGGTTGTTCTGTGAATATGTTTACTGTGTTTTACAGTATTGTTCAGCCAACCAAAGCTGCCGGTTTGTCTCTGCTAAAGCAACAGGATTTTTGTTTAGTTTTTGAGAAACATTTTGAGAGCAGATCAGCCATAATCTCGTTAATCTAGTTTGAAAATGCATATTTTTAGGCAGGCATACTGGTAATATTGTATATATATATATCTCATATTGGTTGTAAAGTTTGTTGCTTTTTTTATTGCTGCTTGTAAATTGTTTTATGTGTTTTATCTGCATGTAAGGCGTGACATATGTGACCTTGGACCACAAATCCACTCACACGGCCATTTTTTTAAATTTAAGATTTATACGTCATCTGAAAGCTGGATAAATAAGCTTTCCATTGATGTGTGGTGTGTTAGGATAGAACAACATTTGGCCGATACAACTATTAGAAAATCTGGAATCTGAAGGTGCAAAAAAATCTAAACATGAGAAAATCCCCTTTAAAGTTGTGCATTTATGTTGGCGATTTTGCTGCATCCACTCACAAAAATATATATTTTGATATATTTACGGTAGGAAATTTCATGGAACATGATCTTTACTTAATATCCTAATGATTTTTGGCTTAAAAGAAAAATGGATAATGTATTGATGGTTACTGCCACAGATGTACCCGTGCGACTCGTGACTGGGTTTGCAGGGTCTCATATATATGAATGTATGATTATTGTTGTTTACCTGACAGGAGCTCCGCGGCTCTGGGCCGGTTTCAGCACAACCGTGACGCTGCTGTCCGTCTGGTTCAGAGGCGACTCCTGATCGTACGCCGGCATCGACGGAGCTGCAAACACACACACACACACACACACACACACACACACAAAAGCCGAAACATTCAAATGATTTGAAACAGCAACTCGAATCACTAGAGTTATCATGCAAGAACACAAACGCACATGTCTTTGTTTCATTCCTCTGATGGAGTGCCTAGGTGGCGCTGACACAAAAAACAAGTTTTCTGTTTTGGTAAAAAAAAAAAAAAAGACGCACTAATGTTGCTCAGCTAACATAATATTTAGAGTTTATGCTCATTAAACTAATCTCTTGCATTGCATAAAAGAAGAAGTTGTTGTTTTCAGGCTCTACTAGAACAGGTTCTCCAGCTTGAATGTTGATTATTCTCCTCATATTCTCCATTGTTGCGGCTCCTCTCTTCCCAGTCTGTCAGTAACGCTCTGTTTACTTCCTGTCTCTATGAAGCCCCTCCTCCTGAAAGCACACTGTGCTCTGATTGGTCGGCTGGAGCAGTGTGTTGTGATTGGTCGAGCGCTTCGAGTGTGTTTGGGAAATGCCCCGCCCCTTTCCATAACCGCCAGTTTAACACACTACTGACTAACTCAACCAGGCCCCGCCCCTTTATTCTGCGCATTAATTATTATAATGAGGAATATTGAGACGTGTTCGTTCCGGAAGAAACTCAAGACTACAGTGGAGGCGTTTCAGGAGTTCAGGAACACTGACTCTGATATAGAGAATTCAATGAACTCAAAATTTTAACCCTCTTGTGCTCTACTGTAATTTTTGACCGAAAAATTTTACGTTATGTCTTTTTTTTCATCGGAATGGTACGAAACTTGGTAAAGGTTTTGGCACTTGCTGTGTGAACACACACACACACAAATGCATGAACATGATGTGAACAGGTTAAACGGTCCTGTAAGCAATAGTCACACTTGTGCTCCTCGCGGTCAGAAACGAGCGCATTGGAAATGAATGAGAGACGAGTTTCCTCTAGTGGAAGCGTTTGGAACTGCAGCCGAACAACATCTCACTGGAAGATCATTCACTGAGAGATCAGACTCACATCTGGAGCACAGCTGGCTTAGGTTTAGTGCTTTGATTTTATTGCCGTTTAAGAGTAAAACGTGTTTTTGAAAATATATATTTCATATAAAAATTGAAAATAGTATTTTTTGTGCATTTTTCATAACAATAAACGTAAAATTCTGTAACTTTTTTTAAGTTCACTTTAACTTTTTTCACTTCAGCAATAATCTGCCGAGTGTCGTCTTTAAACAGAGATCAAACTTCAGTCTGTCGCTCTAAAGCATTCAAGATGCACCACAGTTTAAGTTGGAAATTAATTTTCATGTCTATGCTCAAAAAAGCGAATAAATGGATTATAACTACAGCGTAAATATAATTTAGTACCATAAAATCCCCTAAAAATACAAAATAATTAATAAAAAGCATTATTGAACTAAAATATACTACAATCATTGAAATACAAATAAAAAATCTGTAATTTTTGACCGACACACGAAGAGTGGCAACCAGTTTATTGAACCAACACTCTTGTGTTACTCCAGTGTTGGATTAGGATTGTCTCTGGCGACCCTGACCTGAGATCTTGGTTGTGGCCTGTGTGACGGCGGGCGGCCCGAAGCCTTTAGCCGTGCTCGCTCGGAGGGTGAAGGAGTACGTGGAGCCGGGATAGAGACCCAGGAACACGTGGCTGGTGTCATTCCCCATCTTCACCACCTTCCCGCTCTGGTTAGACAGATCCAGCACTGGGTCGAAGGAGCTGACGGCTTTATAGGAGATCTGGGAACACAAACGTGCATGTCAGTAGGGATGCCCCCGATAGTCCACTAACCGTTAGTCCAGGAGAAGAGGAGATTAGTCGTTTAGTCACTTGAAAAGTCACTTACAAAGTCACTTTAGTCACTTAAAAACTTGAAAAAGTGGCAAAATCAGGCAGGCTGTGACGGACAGATCGTTAACGGCAGGGAATCCAATCATTATCCTGTCATTCATCGACCTCAAATATGGCTTATCACTGTAAACATGTAAGTAGCGGTAAGTTTACAAGTCGCTCTAATGTTAGCCTAGATAAACGTGTGCTATTATTAGTGTTTGACTGCATGCCATACAGGCGCCGGTGCATTTAACTTAAAATACTACGTCATTTCTGCTCATACAGATACGAGTAATGCAAACTGTAAAGGGTCTACTTTTATTTCTGTAAATCACAATAACAGCAAAACGTGCTTTTGTAAAATGATGAAAACAGTAAGGATGCGCTTTCAAACAGAAAATGAATATTGTCAGATTATGTAATCCGTATGAAACGTCGACTCGATCTCTGCAGCCGAACACACAGAAAACATTACCAATACATTTTTAAAATGTTTATAAAGTCTCATTCTGTTTTTTGCACAACACACTCATATTCACTGAATTTGAATTTGTGCGCTGATTAGGCCATATGTATTTTAAACAGGGAATTAACCCTCTGGGGTCCTTCGGCCCAAATGGACCCGAAGCATTTAAATATTTTTTTTTTTTAAATCATTGCTTTATCGGAATGGTCCGAAATCTGGTGACTTTGTTGGTACTTGGTATATGAACACCCAAAAAAATTGGGGACAGGATTTGAATAGTCTAAGTGGTTGTAAAAAAAATAGTCACACTCAGGACCTTCGGGTCCAAATGGACCCGCATAGGAAATGAATGGGAAATTGGCAAAAATGTGAAAATACAGAGTTATTTTGTGCGTACAAACTACAAATCAGCCACGATCCAGAAAAAAGGCACACAACAGTGAAGGGGTGAATCTATAAAACATCAAGAGTGCAAAACAGACACATCCACACACACACACACACACACACACACAAACACACTTTTATACACATACACACTAATAAATTCAGATTACATATGGGTTTTGAATTTTTAAAATGCTCAGTTTGTCCACCAGATGGCATCCATCTCATTTCAAAAATTGCTTTCATGAGGCCTAGGCTTGACTCTAAAATGAAATACAGCTTTAAAAAAAAAACAAAAAAAAAAAACATATTTTTTAAATTTCTATTATATTCAATGGGGAAAAAATGGGTCATAATTATTACATTAATATTAATTATAAATCATTTTTATTTTTGAAATTATCTCAAAAAAGAAAAGAAAAAATATTATAAAAAACAAGTAAAAAAAAAAAAGATGATTTTTTTTTAATAAATATTAATCCCACCCTTCCGGCCCATTTGGACCCGAAGGTCCTGAGTGTGACTCTGAAATGAAGGACCCCAGAGGGTTAAAGGCGCATTATTATGATTGATGGCTTATTAATATAGCGCGCGCGATTAGTCGACTAATGGCTCAAATGAACGACTACTAGTCGACTAGAAAACATGCTACATGTTAGCATCCCAGCGTCGACCGAGCAAATGAGTCCACTCTATTATTTCTGAAATGCTTCAAGGCCCTTTTCAATTATCATCCGGCAATAAAGAAATCAATAACAACATCCGCGCTCGTGACGGATCAGAGCAGGGAAAAAGTGGGAAAGTGTCTCGCTTCTCGCGTTTGAAGGGTTTTGTTCATTACGCTGAAGAAGAGCGGCGTTAATGAAGCGCCGCATTCGAGACACTTTTAGATATCGGGATATTCTGCTCGTTTTCATAAACTCTATCAGCTATTAGATTCATATCACTGCATGGAGGGAGAGACTCGGGATGTGTGGGAAGATCAGACTGACGTCATCGGACAGGAACGGAGAATCTGAGGACGGGAAATCTCACTGGAAATATACAAGAGGAATCAGAGAGAGAGAGAGAGAGAGCGAGAGAGAAAAGAAAGGGAAGGAAGGATCAGGTTCCCTTGATAAGAGGAAAAAAAGCCCAAACTGTCCTTTTGAAATCACGGCCCGTCAGTGAGTCTCAGTTTGAACTCTTTGATACTGTCAAATCAAAGGCTGGATGTCACGACGGGCTCGCGGACAACTGAGTCTACGGTTATTCCCGTCTGACTATGTGATCTGTAGCGCGCACAGTCGCACACACACACACACACGCACACACACACGCGCGCGTATGTTAGACCCTTTACCGACTAAGCCATTGAAAGAGATGCTTCCAGAGGTCATAGATCCTCTTCTTAATATCATTAATTCATCAATGTCAAGTTTTTTAAGATGGTTATTATTAAGCCTCTTATTAAAAAACCACAACTTGATCCTACAGAATTAGTCAATTACAGGCCGATCTCGAATCTACCTTTTCTGCCAAATATACTAGAAAAGGCAGTTTCCTCACAACTGTGTTCCTTTCTAGAGAGAAATGATATCTGTGAGGATTTCCAGTCAGGATTTAGACCGTACCATAGCACTGAGACTGCTCTCATCAGAGTCACACATGATCTGCTCTTATCATCCGATCGTGGTTGTATCTCTCTATTAGTGTTACTCGATCTTAGTGCTGCATTTGACACTATTGACCACAACATTCTTTTAAATAGACATGAAAACTATGTTGGCATTAGTGGAATTGCATTAGCATGGTTTAAATCACACTTATCTGACCGTTATCAGTTTGTAGCAGTAAATGAAGAGATGTCTTATCGATCACAAGTTCAGTATGGCGTACCACAAGGCTCAGTACTAGGACCGCTGCTGTTCACTCTGTACATGCTACACACACACACACACACACACACACACACACACACACACACACACACACACACACACACACACACACACACACACACACACACACACACACACACACTCTCTGTACATGCTACCCTTAGGGGATATTGGAAAACATGGTGCTAGTTTTCACTGTTACACTGATGATACGCTGCAAAAAATGCTTTTCTTACTTAGTATTTTTTGTCTTGTTTCCAGTCCAAATATCTAATATCTTAAATCCAAGAAACATTTACTAGATAAGATATGAAGAGTTAGGTTCCAAAACGCAATAAATCCATTTAGATTAATTTAAGTAAAAATGTGTTTTCTTTACCAAGAAAGTGGAAAGATGAAAACCACTATTTTCTGTTTCAAACTTTCACATAGCATTTGTAGGTCATAATAACAAAAAAAATTAAAATCCAGGTTTTGATTTTCAAAGATTTATTATAAAAACGGATTTTTTTTTTCCCCAAAATGCAATAAATCCATTTAAAAAAAAAAATCTAAATGCATTTAATCCATTGAATCAATATAAAAGTTGTTTTTTTTTCATATTGAAACTGTTGAAAATACACAACAACGTAAGTTCCCTTTCGAAGGGAACTCAACAATACGTCATCGACGTTATGGGGAACGCCTCAGGCGTGACAGGTGTCTGAAATCAAGTATCAACTCACAGCAATCATGTTGACCGGCGACAGCCCGTGCATCATCAGCTCGAATGATGAGCGCGCAACCTGGATGTATAAAAAGGGTGCCTTGAAACCGTGACAACATCTTTTCGTCTTCAGGGACTGTTTGTCTGTTTTTTGAGTAGTCAACAAAAAGAAAATGAAGCGTGCAGAGAAGGGGAAAAATACTTTCCGCAAGTGTGCCGACCCGTGTCCTAGATATTTGACACCGGAGGATTCACACGATCTGTGCGTTTTCTGCCTGGGAGAAGAGCACGCGCGGGGAGTTCTCGAGGGAGCTTCCTGCGCAAACTGTGAGCGGTTTTCTTCCCTTGGCTTGTGAAACAGTAGAATTCAGGTTTCTGAGTTCCTGTGTCCTGGTGTGCTTCATTTCGCACGTTGCAGGTTTTATGTTGAGTGAAAATGTTTTTTCTGCGCAAATAACATTTTTCTCTTCTTTTTCAGAACTCGTCTCCTGTACAGAGCCGGGGACATGTTGGTAAGCAAAGGTAATGTATTGTAAGGTGAGCTGAGCTCCCACATGTTGTGGTCGCCAGGTTACAGGCCTCACCAGGCCTTCCAGGCTATGAGCTTCCATATGTCAGGTCACAGGCCTTATCCAGCCTTCCTGAATATGAGCTCCCACATACTGTGGTTATTAGGTTACAGGCCCCACCCGGCCTTCCTGATATGAGCTCCCACATACTGTGGTCGCCAGGTTACAGGCCTCACCGGCCTTCCTGGTTATGAGCTCCCACATACTGGGTTTCAGGTTACAGGCCTTACTAGGCCTTCCTGAATATGAGCTCCCACACACGGTGGTCGCCAGGTTACAGGCCTCACCCGGCCTTCCTGATAAGAGCTCCCACATACTGTGGTAGCCAGGTTACAGGCCTCACCCGGCCTTCCTGATAAGAGCTCCCACATACTGTGGTAGCCAGGTTACAGGCCTCACCGGCCTTCCTGGTTATGAGCTCCCAAATACTGGGTATCAGGTTATAGGCCTTACCAGCCTTCCTGATGAGAGCTCCCACATACTGTGGTCGCCAGGTTACAGGCCTCACCCGGCCTTCCTGATATGAGCTCCCACCTACTGTGCTCACCAGGTTACAGGCCTCACAGGCCTTCCTGATATGAGCTCTCACCTTCTGTGCTCGCCAGGTTTCAGGCCTCACCTGGCCTTCCTGGTTATGAGCTCCCACATGCTGTGGTCGCCAGGTTACAGGCCTCATCGGCCTTCCTGATATGAGCTCCCACATACTGTGGTCGCCAGGTTACAGGCCTCACTGGCCTTCCTGGTTATGAGCTCCCAAATACTGGGTATCAGGTTTTAGGCCTTACCAGCCTTCCTGATGAGAGCTCCCACATACTGTGGTCGCCAGGTTACAGGCCTCACCCGGCCTTCCTGATATGAGCTCCCACCTACTGTGCTCACCAGGTTACAGGCCTCACAGGCCTTCCTGATATGAGCTCTCACCTTCTGTGCTCGCCAGGTTTCAGGCCTCATCGGCCTTCCTGATATGAGCTCCCACATACTGTGGTCGCCAGGTTACAGGCCCCACCCGGCCTTCCTGATATGAGCTCCCACATACTGTGGTCGCCAGGTTACAGGCCTCACCGGCCTTCCTGGTTATGAGCTCCCACATACTGGGTTTCAGGTTACAGGCCTTACTAGGCCTTCCTGAATATGAGCTCCCACACACGGTGGTCGCCAGGTTACAGGCCTCGCCAGGCCTTCCTGGTTATGAGCTCCCACATACTGTGGTCGCCAGGTTACAGGCCTCACCCGGCCTTCCTGGTTATGAGCTCCCAAATACTGGGTATCAGGTTACAGGCCTTACCAGCCTTCCTGATATGAGCTCCCACCTACTGTGGTCGTCAGGTTACAGGCCTCACCGGCCTTCCTGGTTATGAGCTCCCACATTCAGTGGTCACCAGGCTTCAGGCCTCCTCGGCCTTCCTGGTTATGAGTTGTCACATGTCAGGTTTCAGGCCTCACCAGGCCTTCCTGAATGTGAACTCCCACTCACTGTGGTCGTTAGGGTGTGGTTGTGAGCTTTTGACTATCAGGTTACAGGCCTCATCTGGTCTTCCTGATTATGTTAAAACCATACTTATGGTAAGTCACACGACGGAACGTCTTGTGTACTTTCTAAAATCCATTTTCATGGTAAGGGTCATGCGCTGTATGGTTCGGTCCCTTCCTATGTGGCCCAGACCCAGGTCTTTCACCATGGGTCCCACTCTAGATGCGTCCTGTCGTCAAAGTTTGCTACGACAGACGCCTGTTTCTGATCCAGGCCTTCCTGGATTCGGAATTACTAAGTACATGCACTTTTGTTTCATGTACTTTCTAAAATCCATATTTATGGCCTTTCTGAAAGTAGCCCCCACATGGTGTGGTTGTCAGGTTACAGGCCTTGTCAGGCCTTCCTGATATGAGCTCCCTCCTACTGTGGTTGTCAGGTTACAGGCCTCGCCGGCCTTCCTGGTTTTGAGCTCCCACATTCAGTGGTCACCAGGCTTCAGGCCTCCTCGGCCTTCCTGGTTATGAGTTGTCACATGTCAGGTTTCAGGCCTCACCAGGCCTTCCTGAATGTGAACTCCCACTCACTGTGGTCGCTAGGGTGTGGTTGTGAGCTTTCACATGTCAGGTTGCAGGCCTCATCAGGCCTTCCTGAATGTGATCTCCCACACATTTTGACTATCAGGTTATAGGCCTCATCTGGCCTTCCTGGTCATGTCAAAACCATACTTATGGTAAGTCACATGATGGAACATCTTGTGTACTTTCTAAAATCCATTTTATGGTAAGGGTCATGTGCTGTAGGCTTCAGTCCCTTTCTATGTGGCCCAGACCCAAGTCTTTAACCTCGGGTCCCACTCTAGATGCGTCCTGTCGTCAAAATATGCTACGACAGACGCCTTTCTGGCTAACTTCTTCATTCTGATCCAGGCCTTTTCTGGACTCAGAATAACTAAGTACATGCACTTTTGTTTCATGTACTTTCTAATGTAGCCCCCACGTGGTGTGGTTGTCAGGTTGCAGGCCTTATCAGGCCTTCCTGGTTATGAGCTCCCATATTCTGGGTATCAGGTTATAGGTCTCACCGGCCTTCCTGATGAGAGCTCCCACACACTGTGGTCGCCAGGTTACAGGCCTCACCCGGCCTTCCTGGTTATGAGCTCCCACATACTGTGGTCGCCAGGTTATAGGCCTCACCGGCCTTTCCTGATGTGAGCTCTCAGGTACTGGAGCTCCCCACATAGAGGGTAATCAGGTCTTTGGCCTCAGCAGACCTTCCTGGTTTTTGATCCCTCTCTTACAGTACTTCCTCAGTGTTCAGGAGGAGCACTGGGTAGACCCATGGATTGAGTGGACGACTTCCGTCTTTTCTTGAGGTTGAGTTACACTCTCCGGGTAATCCCGTCTCTGTGATCCGGAACTGAATGATTTCTGCCAGCTTTGCAGGCCTTCATTTTTGGATGCCTTCTCCAAGGCAGTTTCCAGAGGCTCTGTCTCGGACAGACAGGCAATAGCCAGACTGTGCGTCTTAGTATAGATCACCAGGCCAGCCTGGTGGCATGTCAGGAGGCATGCTCTCCTGAATAGTGACTGGCTGGGAATCCCTTGAGTCCCCTAGCCACACTCCCTAGAAGGGACCCCTTCTATTAGGAAGTTGTGGTCCTAAGCCTTTGAGCTGGCCCAGATATACCTCCCATGAACTATGTTCTGGCAGTTTCTCGGTTCATTAGCTTGGGCTATGACCGGTAGGGAGTGCTGTCACTGACAGCCCAACGTGACCTAGGGTGAGTGGTTTTAGTGTCCTTTGTATTACTGGTTCGGACAGTTGTCACTGCCATTGGGCATGCACTCCCCTCAGTATGGCGGCGTGGGTATTTCGTTCCCCATAACGTCGATGACGTATTGTTGAGTTCCCCTTCGAAAGGGAACGTCTCAGGTTACGACTGTAACCTATGTTCCCTGAGAACAGGGAACGAGACAATACGTCTCCCTGCCATACCTCGGGGCCTGCCTGCAACAGTCCCTTCAGACGATAGGATGTTGTCACGGTTTCAAGGCACCCTTTTTATACATCCAGGTTGCGCGCTCATCATTCGAGCTGATGATGCACGGGCTGTCGCCGGTCAACATGATTGCTGTGAGTTGATACTTGATTTCAGACACCTGTCACGCCTGAGGCGTTCCCCATAACGTCGATGACGTATTGTCTCGTTCCCTGTTCTCAGGGAACATAGGTTACAGTCGTAACCTGAGACGTTTATTAGTATAATATTTTTATTAAGAACTGTAAAGAAGATTGAAAACATTTTTCCTCCTCCCGAGTGCCTCATCTTCTTAATCTCCTCACGTAAATGATTCGATTTCGATGCCTTACGTTTCATACCCACCGCAGAAACAACCACAGGTTCATCAATGCCGTCAAAATTATTCATTTTTTTGTTTGTTTGTTGATCGAAAAGTACAAAATAGATAAGAAAAACTAGGAAGCCGGGTGTATTTAAGGCGCTGCCGTTACTGTTTACATTGCGTGGAATGGTGCGTTGTGATTGGTTGAGAGCGGCTATATCGCGTTCTGCAGAGAAGGGAGACTGGCGTTTGTCGCGGTTTGGAAAGAAAGGGAGAAAACATGATAACACGGCGGATATCGCATTTTACTTAAAATTAAACATTGACTTTTCAATACCAACCAGATACTATACTGATTTTTGCAGTAACTCATTTTTTTTTAAAATGGCGTTTATCGCGTTTTGGAACCAAACTCTTCATATGTTGTTTTCTGAAAAAAAGTGAGTTTTTGCTTAAAACAAGCAAAATTATCTGCCAATGGTTTCTATTATCTATTTAAGAATTTTTTTATATTTGGACTGGAAACAAGACAAAAATACTAAGTAAAAAACATATTTTGCTGTGTACTCAGCTCTATATTTCTTCTCGGCTTGACGAAACATACCAATTCACAAAACTGACGGAATGCATAGTCGATATGAAAAATTGGATGACTAGTAATTTCATACAACTACATTCTGAAAAAAAAGTTTTAATTCACCCTTCGCCAGTTTGATTGACAGGCAATCTGACCAATCGTAACACAGATATTATCTCCAGACCAGACAGAGGTAGTAGATTAGCGTTGGTGGACGTGTATTGTGTGGTGTGTTGACGTCTTAAAGTGTACCTTCTGATGTTCATTCATGACTATTTTGTGCTATAATAACTAGTGGTAAAGCGGAAGAGATGATCGGTTCACATGTCGCTTCAGTGATCCGTCACCACACATTAAAGAGCCACAAAACTGTATTTATTGTTTGAATTTCTTAAAAAAATGGCAAGATTTGAAAGTTGAGACTTTAAAGTGATAACGTGTGTGTGTTCACCTCATACTGAGTGATGATGCCGAAGGTCTGAGCCGGTTCTCTCCACTTCAGCAGGATCTTCTCCTCGTACACACTGGCCTGGATAGATTCCAGAGGAACTTCACCCGGCACTGACAGAAGTGACATCACAACGGATCAGAACACAGCGACAACAACAGCTCTTCACATGCATACAGTGTTCTGTAGCTGTAATATTTTGTCATGTTTAACATATGGACACACACACAGACGCACACACAGACGCACACACACACACACACACATACGCACACACAGACGCACACACACACACACACACACACACAGACGCACACACAGACGCACACACACACACACACACACACACACACACACACACACACACACAGAGACAGACACACAGAGACAGACACACACACGCACACACACACACCCACACACACACAGACGCACACACAGATGCACACACAGACACACACAGACACACACACAGACGCACACACAGACGCACACACACACACACACACACACACACACACACACACACACACAGACACACACACACACACACACACACACACACACACAGAGACAGACACACAGAGAAAGACACACACACAGACACACACACACACACACACACACACACACAGACAGACACACACACGCACACACACACACACACACTCACACACACACACACACACACACACGGACACACACTCACATACACACACACACACACACGGACACACACACACACACACACACACACACACACGGACACACGCTCACACACACACACACACACGGACACACACACACACACACACACACACACACACACACACACACGCTCACACACACACGGACACACACACACACACATCAATGTTTGGCAGCTAATAAGGAAAGCATTATGTCTCAAGCTGACCGCCTTTTTCTGAAAGGTTAAATCGGTATGAATAAGTGACTGTGATTTATTATTATTATTCTTTTAAAAGTCACTGGTTTCAAGCCATAAATGCACAGAAACACACAAATCCCCTCAGATGCTGTTCGTCTCCTCCTTCAAACACGCGTGTGTGTGTGTGTCTGAGAGATTATTACTCATTTGTTTATCGTTTCATCCTCTCGCAGGAACGTTCCTCAAGTCTGTCTCACTTGACACCGACTCTGAACGAGAACAAAGAGCGCGTGTGTGTTTAACATCCAGTCGAGATGCGGCCCAGGTGTCTAATTATTTATAAAGGTTGCCGATCTCAGGAAACAAAAAAAAAATCATGTTTATTCCATCAGAAGAGCTCTGCTAATGGGGGACGCAATTAGACATTCAAGCTAAATGTCAGCGCTTCGGCGTACTGGAAGAAATCACCCTTAGGAACATGAGAAATAAGATGAAAATTATCCAATGAAGCATTTGAGCAGCTCGTTCACTCCAGTACCTGATATAATGGGCTCTTCATAGACACACAGTGGCTATATAGCACTAAAGACACTGTGCTGGGGAACTTAAAGGGTCTTCAATTGTTACACAGCAAAATAACCCACTTCTATTCAAGAAGAAGCCTGCATCCGGTTATTCGTTATACGGTTCTTTGTGGATAAATAATGTTCTTTATGTTTCAGAGGTTCTTGTTTTTGGGACACAGAGGCTAAAGCTCTAGAGAATAACAGATCTAGAATTCTACAAAGATCTCAAAAAGGTCTAGAATAAACAGTTCTAGTGGGACTTAAATGGGTGAGGAAAACACCCATCAAGAATATATCTGGCTCATATTTTTATTAATTTTGAAGAATGTTTGTAACCAAACTGTTTTGGTTATAAACTAAAAGAAAAAACTGAAATAAAATAAACTACAATAAAAATAATGCCCGTTGTAGCCTTTTTATGTGGCTACACACACACACACACACACACACACACACACACACACACACACACACACACACACACACACACACACACACACACACACACACACATATAACACATCCTCAGAGTTATAACTATATATTTGGATTTACATATATATATTTAGAGTTATATATATATATATATATATATATATACACTCACCGGCCACTTTATTAGGTACACCTGTCCAACTGCTCGTTAACACTTAATTTCTAAGCAGCCAATCACATGGCGGCAACTCAGTGCATTTAGGCATGTAGACATGGTCAAGACAATCTCCTGCAGTTCAAACCGCGCATCAGTATGGGGAAGAAAGTTGATTTGAGTGACTTTGAACGTGGCATGATTGTTGGTGCCAGAAGGGCTGGTCTGAGTATTTCAGAAACTGCTAATCTACTGGGATTTTCACGCACAACCATCTCTAGGGTTTACAGAGAATGGTCCGAAAAAGAAAAAACATCCAGTGAGCGGCAGTTCTGTGGGCGGAAATGCCTTGTTGATGCCAGAGGTCAGAGGAGAATGGCCAGACTGGTTCGAGCTGATAGAAGGGCAACAGTGACTGAAATAACCACTCGTTACAACCGAGGTATGCAGCAAAGCATTTGTGAAGCCACAACACGCACAACCTTGAGGCGGATGGGCTACAACAGCAGAAGACTCCACCGGGTACCACTCATCTCCACTACAAATAGGAAAAAGAGGCTACAATTTGCAAGAGCTCACCAAAATTGAACAGTTGAAGACTGGAAAAATGTTGCCTGGTCTGATGAGTCTCGATTTCTGTTGAGACATTCAGATGTTAGAGTCAGAATTTGGCGTAAACAGAATGAGAACATGGAACCATCATGCCTTGTTACCACTGTGCAGGCTGGTGGTGGTGGTGTAATGGTGTGGGGGATGTTTTCCTGGCACACTTTAGGCCCCTTAGTGCCAATTGGGCATCGTTTAAATGCCACGGCCTACCTGAGCATTGTTTCTGACCATGTCCATCCCTTTATGGCCACCATGTACCCATCCTCTGATGGCTACTTCCACCATGTCACAAAGCTCTAATCATTTCAAATTGGTTTCTTGAACATGACAATGAGTTCACTGTACTAAAATGGCCTCCACAGTCACCAGATCTCAACCCAATAGAGCATCTTTGGGATGTGGTGGAACGGGAGATTCGCATCATGGATGTGCAGCCGACAAATCTGCAGCAACTGTGTGATGCCATCATGTCAATATGGACCAAACTCCCTGAGGAATGCTTCCAGCACCTTGTTGAATCTATGCCACGAAGAATTGAGGCAGTTCTGAAGGCAAAAGGGGGTCCAACCCGTTACTAGCATGGGGTACCTAATAAAGTGGCCGGTGAGTGTATATTCAGAGTTATAACTATATATTCAGGATTTACATTTATGTATTCAGATTTGTGACTATATATTCAGAGTTATAACTACATATTCGGATTTATATTTATGTATTCAGATTTGTTACTATTCAGATTCATATTCAGATTTGTGACTATAAATTTAGAGTTATAGCTATATATTCAGATTTATATTTATACATTCAGATTTGTTACTATATAGTCAGATTTGTGACTATAAATTCAGAGTTATAACTATATATTCGGATTTACATTTATATATTCAGATTTGTAACTATATATTCAGAGTTATAACTATATATTCAGATTTATATTTATATATTCAGATTTGTTACTATATATTCGGATTATATTTACATATTCAGATTTGTTACTATATATTCGGATTATATTTATATATTCAGATTTGTTACTATATAGTCAGATTTGTGACTATATAGTCAGATTTGTGACTATATATTCAGATTTATATGTATATATTCAGATTTGATACTATATATTCGGATTATATTTATATATTCAGATTTGTTACTATATATTCAGATTTGTGACTATATATTAAGAGTTATAACTATATATTTGGATTTACATTTATATATTCAGATTTGTAACTATATATTCAGAGTTATAACTATATATTCAGATTTATATTTATATATTCAGATTTGTAACTATATATTCAGAGTTATAACTATATATTCAGATTTGTATCTATATATTCAGATTTACGTATAATTATTTCATGTTTGGCCCCCCATATTATGCACACACACACACACACACACACACACACACACACACACACACATATATATATATATATATATACACACACACACACACACACACACACACACACACACACACACACACACACACACATAACACATCCTCAGTTATAACTATATATTCGGATTTACATTTATATATTCAGAGTTATAACTATATATATATATCAGAGTTATAACTATATATATAACTATATATATATATGTGTGTGTGTATATATGTATATCTAATTTTCATATAGGTTATGCCAGTTTCCCCCTCACCATCCTCGTCGGTCTGCACGTGTATCTCGGGACTCTCCTTGACTCCCTCTCGGTTGCGCAGGACCATCCTGACGCTGAGGTTGGTGAAGGGCGTGAGGTTGTGTATGGTGTGTTGAGGAGTGGAGCTGGACGACACCTCCCTGCTCTCCTCCTTCGCCCCGGCTCCGGCCCGGGTTCGGGACCGGTACTGCACCGTCAGACTGTAGTTGTGGCAGCGTGTCACGTTGTAGCCGAACGGCTCCCAGCGAACCGTCACCTGCCGAGACTTGATGTCCACCACTTTCAGCTGTCGGGGCCCGTGCATCGGCT